CAGCTAACAAATTGGTAAGATGAGTGTCATTGCCAGTAGTAATCAATGTATCGTCCAATAAGTTCCTGATCTTGAGTCGGCCTCCATTATTCTTCTTCCTCCTAGTTTAAACATGTCATTTCTCATCTGAAACCTGACTCATCTGATCAGTGGATTGGTCTAAAGTGTGTCGGACATGTGTAGGTTGTTGAACATTGGAAGCATCTACTTGTTGTACCAGTTGATCTTTTATTGGATCAAAGGAGTACTCTCGTGTGTCTTGGCATGTAAGTGAGTCTTCTTCAATAACAATGAGCGGCATAGAGATGTTTGGATCAGTACTAGTAGTATGAGGAGATGTGTTTCATGAGACTCCAGATGAGACTCCAGAGTACCATGCTCCAATCCAATAGCTAGAATAGAGTGTTCAAAAGTAGGAGCATCCAGGGGTAGAACGGCTTGGGTATGATGTTCTTCATCTGAGACGGCAAAGGTTTGAATAGGAGGGTCATCAGAAAAATTTTCATCAGGAACAGCGTCAGTCAGCTGAGCAGAGGTAGTTGCGGTGTTGGAAAGAGGGTCGGGTTGCATCTCCTTAGCAGGGATGGTAGGTGGCAAGACGTCCACCCCCAATTCAGTACGAATAGATTTTTGAACAGGTTGTTGATCTTTAGCAATAATCAACCTTAAATGAGGATGTAAACGATAACAAATAGTAGAACTGTGGTCAAACATACAACAATGAGAGCAATAAGAAGGGTGTGATTGTATTTCAACATTTTGTCAATACCCGTTGTGAATGGATCTAATCCATATCTCATCCGGATGTGGTTGGGTGATATCTCTCTGAACTAACACATCAGCGACGGAGGGTCTGGTGACAACAAGCGTAGAACTATCAACCTTGAGAAGCTTAGCGTAAGCAATTGCTAAGAATTAGAGAATTTCAAAGTTGAACAGGTGTAGTTTTAACCCCGAAAATTTTATCCAAACAAGAATAACAGGGACTCCGCTTTTGGATCAAAATCAACAGTCCACTTCAGGATTTTCATAAAATCGTTGTCAATCTTGATTACCTTAAAAGAAAAAATACGAGTATAATCTGTATCGTGAGATAACTGAATGAGTATATGTCGGTCATCAAGTAAGTTAATATTTCATCTACCCGATAGTTTCATAGCATCAAAATATTTTTGAATGATCTCGAGTTTAGGGTGACCATAAAAGAATTTTCCCACTAGAGCAAAACACCAAGAAGACACAATATTATTGGTTTCAGCCTCAGAGAGAAAAAGAACAGGTTTCTTTTTTTTTTACCAAGCTTTTTAATGAAAGTATGATCACCACCACCTTCAAGAACCTCGTGGAAGAATTGTGGAACAATGCAGGACTTAACCGATACCAAAATCAGGCTCCCAACCCACAGACACAACAGCGGCATAACTTTGTCCCATCCGAGTACCAAAGAAGGGCAACAAGGATCGGGGTAGAGGAACGCTCAACAGAAGGGGCGGGGTCGAGCAAAGATGAAGGATCCGATGTCAGAAAAGGACAAAGTGTGAGAAGTTGCACCGCAAGAATGAGGAGAAGCAGACAGTCGAGGCACGAGCGAAACAGGCGAACGAAGTTGAAGCAATCACGAAGTCGAGCGGACATATTCGAAACAGATGAAGTCACGAAATCGGAGCAAACGAAATAACAAAGCCATATCAGTGCGAGGCCTTACTGCGATAGGGAGAGGAGGAAGACGACAAAACCGAAGGAGCCCTTCGTCATCGGGTTGGAATGGAACTAAAGGAGTTAAGGCTGGGTTTTGCCAAACCCTAGTAGAGCTACCCACACTTCGTCCTTTTCTGACGTCGGATCCTTCTTCTCTGCTCACGAAGCCGCTCGCCTCGCTTACTTGCACTTGAACCACTCAATCTTTCCCCTGCTCTTCTATTTGAACCAACACAGATGCTTGTAGACCTTCTGCTTCAATTTGGTCTTCCCATAAGCAAAGTTTCTCTTCTCGTCTCTTTTTCCTTCGTGCTCACACATGAGTCGCTCGTTCCTGTTTCTACACAAAGCGGCGCTACATTGCAAGCAAAGCTCATTGTCTTCCTCATTAGTGTCACTCGTCTTCTCTTCTCCTTCGCGTAGGCATCGACTCATAAACTTATCGCCCTCAAACAATTACTTCTCGCTACATTTGCCTCTCGGGTGCCCTAGACGCACGTGAGTCGCCAAAAGCGATCAAAGGTAAAGTTGAATGTGTTTGCTCGAATGCAGTATCATTAGCAAGGTATGACAGTTCCTTCTTCTTCCTTCTCACTCGCCCTCCCTTCAAACTCTTGCTCTCATCTCTCATTCACGCTCTCAATTTCTTCCCTCTGGTTCAAAAGAGCTGCCTGATCAAGACAGTTGGTTTGAACTGGCAATATCAATTTGGAAAAAAATTATTTTATACAAATATATACACATTCCAATGCTTATCGTGGGAGGCTCGGCTAGGTTTCGTCCGATGGTGATTTCCTTCGTCTTCTTCGGTAATTCATCTACCTCAGTCGGCTTCATCGCCTTCATCGACTTCGTCTGCTTGGGCCGAACTCTTCAGCCGCTTTATGCGGTTTCGCCAGCTTCGTCGCTTAACTTCTTTCGTGGTTTTCGCGTTGTTTTCTCTTCCTTGCCGCGAAGCCCCAATTGCACGAGGGCTCGGCTTCGACTCCCTCCCACACGAATTTGACCCGTCGTCTCTTCGTTTTCCGCACGTTGCTTCTTCCTTATCTCTTATTAGCCTTCTGCTCGATTGCTCTGGATTGAGCATTTGTACTCGCATCCTCCTTTGCTCTTGGTTTGCACACACGAGAGCTCTGATCGAAGTCACGACTCAAACCCAGTAGCTAGCCGTTGTTCGACTCTCAGTTCTATGACTTTTGTTCCTCCCCAACCACCAACTGCATCAATTTTAAACCTTGGGAAGGCTTCTTATGTTGATATGGTTTGCTCTGTGGAATCATACCAGATTTTCCCTCAGATTTATCATGAATAATTTCAAGGTCAAGGGGGTTGTAACCTCATCAAGCAGGCGAGAATGAACAATGACAAACTAGCTCTAATTTTCTCTGTTGTTGAAGTTTCCAACCTTGTTGATAAGTACAAATTTACTCTCATTGGGAAGTTTCAATTGAGGTATCCTAAAATGGAAATCGTTCGAAAGGCTTTTGAAGATCTCAAACTGTTGGGACATTAGAAAGTCGGTCTCCTTGATGGAAGACATGTGATGATACAATTATCTAAAGTAGAGGACTATGCCAAAATATTTTCAAAAAAGTATATGACAATTTATGAGAAATATATGAAATTGCTCAGTTGGTCTACTGAATTTGATCATAGCCAAGAACCCCCAATAGTTTCAATCTGTTTTAAACTCTGGCCTAAAGTTGCACTAATTTAATCACCAAGTCCTCTATTCTATTGGAGTTGCACTAAGGAGAACTATGAAATTGGACATACCCACCTTCAACCTATCCAGGCCTACGGTTGCAAGAAATCTTGTTGAAAGACATATCACTTTCTCTGATGTGAAAGAAATATGGCGTGATACTGCTCACAATGGGTATTGACAGTCAATTATTGCAGAACAAAAACCCTACTACTATAATCACTGTAAATTGTTTGGGCACACACCTGCCAAATGCTTCAGGCTTTATCCACATTTGAGATCCAACATTATTGCGCATTTGGATTCTGCAGTTCCTAACAACATCATTCAAGTGGAGGAACAATATAGCAGAAACTGAAGATCTTTCAGAAATGTTGAATGAAAATTTATCTCATCAGGATATTCCTCACCAACCAGTTCAACAGCTACTTCCCACTGTTGTTGAGGCAGTTCTTCCTCAGATCATAAATACTAAGAATTTGGTTATAGCAGAAGCTAGTCGAAATGTTTTGAAACCACCTATTGCAAGAGAAGAGGGTACTCAAGTCCTGGAGGAGCGTCATGATCAAGGTGTGTTACAGGCTAAGACTGCTCAGCAATTTACGGATCAACATACCCCCCAGGGTGAGCTCTCCATCGAAGATCCAACAATTGATCAGACGGGACACACTAGCGAATGAATGACAAGTTTACAAATCTAGGAATAAAAAAAGGAATGCTAGACGTCAGGAATTATCAGGATGACTGTTTGATAGTTTCAGGTAGAAGCCCACATCTTAATTTGTTGTTGGACTCCCTCCCTAGAACTAAGGGAAGGGAAAATGGTAAATCCACCCACTATGACTAGTATTTCATAATTTTTGAGGTATAAGAGTATTTTAAAGTCTCTTTTTGAGTGAGTTGTATTCCTTGTGAGTGGGTTCTTTGTACCCACTCACTAAAACCTTTGTATCTTCCCTTTTACATCAATGAATTTGCCTTTTTATAGATAGATAGATATGGGAGAGAAAGGGCATATTGTGTCCAGTTTGCTCGAACCACGAGTATTTTGGCCTCAAAAATGGATAGGACAACTACCTTAGATATATACAAAGAGACACAAGAACTGGCATGTTGTCCATGTGCTGTGTTTGATTGCTCAAACGGCGAACACAGAATTTGCTAAAGAAATGACCATGCTTGATAAGCAAGAAGAAATAAAATGAACAAACGCAGTGGTAGATCCGTGGCGGAAAGTTGATAACAGTTATAACAAAAAAGTAAGCAAATTTGCTAATGAATATCATTTCAACTTTAACAGAAACTGATGTAACATTTAAATGACATCATAATATCAACTAAAGAATACTTTTGCATGACAAAATTGAACCAAAACAAAAAAAAAGATTGCTCGTTGTCAGTCTATAGCTTTCATGTACTTCAGCATGAAAAAAAGAATATATAAACATACATACATACATACATATATAGAAATATATATGTGTGTGTGTGCGCGCGCGCGAGCGCGCGTGTATCGATTTTCTTTAAAAGATATTACAATAAGCAAGGCAAACTAACTGGAAAATCGAAGATATTAGAATAAGTAAGGCAAACTAACTGGAAAATCGATAAAAGGCTCGTGCTTTGCCATCCTAAACTCAAAAAATCCACCTCTTCCTCGCCCTCGACCTCGACCACGACCTCGAAATGCCATCTCTAACCAAACAAAATAAAGTCTGACAACAAAAACAAAGTTTCATCAGTGAACTTATATAGTAGAAGAAAAACAAAAGAGAAAATTAATATCGAGTAAAAAAAAAAACTAAATAAAGAACTAGTCATCAGACAACAAAATCATTACCTGAAGATTTAGAAAGATATTGAAGACAATTTGTTAATAAAATTAAGAAAATGAACTAGAAAGATTGACTAGCCTAGATCCAAGAATTTATTATCCTAACAAATTCTGATGGTTGAACTATCTCAGCCTTCTTACAAATTAATTTTGGCTAAAAGGTGCAATAAGGTACAATATTTTCTCAATATTGCAGTAATAGAGGCTGTGAATGAATCTTAAGAAGCCTATTGAATCCGTATGAGCTTCAAATGTCGCTACCTCAACTTAAAAAGTGGAATAACTTTATTAGATGGAACAAAATCAACAAGCCCTTGAGGAATATGTACAAATAAGATTTTACATATTTGTGCTGTACAGCAGTTATAAAAATTTCAAGAAAAAAATAAACTTTTGCATTCCAGTTTATTTTCATATCCATCAGCCCTTCGTTGATTTAGAATCTCACTTTCCTTGTTGCTGCAGGTAGATTTGTGTTTTAACGGTCACAACATCTATTGCTTTGCTGACATCGTACTAAACAGGCTCCTTCAAGAAGAAAGCAATATGGAAAGAAAAACGGTAATATTTTGCATTGGTTTAATTTGAACCAAATATTAACCAGACATACAATTTTGTTCAACAGCGTAAATATTCCATTTCATTAGCATTTTTTATTTTGGAAAATTTTGAATTTTATTATATCAGTGTTAAATAACATGATTTTATTCAATGCTCAGTCAATATCTCAACCTAGCCCAAGGAGTTCTTACTTATGGTAAAAAGGCCCCAATGTTATAAAAAAATAAAGAAATGATATATTTAATACAAAATAAATCCTAATTAAAAATAATAAGGCCAAAATAAACGAGCAGCCAAAGTTGGACATAAATTCAAAATGAAAACTGTCATCAAAGATTTTCTGCCCAAGATAAAAAACAATAGGACCAAGCCACCTATGTGCCAGACATATATAGAATAACTAAAAAAAGAAAAGTTAAAAGAAGCAAGTCAAGAAATGCCTCCCTCTAGGGCAAAGATAATTTAGGATGGTTTAGGGTTTTAGTTTTCTAAATAAAAAGAAACAGGTAGAGCACGTAAAGACAATTAGGATTCTAGATCAAAGACCACTACATAAGCATAAACTTATATTTTAGGAAGAAAACAAATAAATACAAAAAATTAGATCCAAAATAAAATGCAATGATCAAATAAATTGAAAAAAATTTATAAAAATTTTATACCATATAAAATCAACAAACAATTGAAAGTTTTTCACTAAAAATCGAGCAAATTTGAACAAAAATAAAAAACTCTATCAAGCGAATAAAAAATTATTTGAATAAATTAAATAATAGAAAGAGTTCACCAAAAGAAAATACAAGCAACATGCAGGTACAAAGAGTTGATTTCTCCCAAAATTAGGTGGTCGTACTTGTACCGCAATTAAAGGAATTAAGCATCTAACATGCAAAAATAATTAAAATTCTACTTAAGAATTTTATCAAATCAAAAGTTGAATATTAAATAACTCAAAAAACCTATATATAGACTTCTCATATCTAATTTAATAAATATGGTTGGCACAAGATCAACCCATTTAATTCAAGATAAACTTAAAATTAAAACTTTGACTTTATCCAAATCTTATAGATTCAACAACAAAATATTGTGCTACTACAACTTGAAATTCCCTCATCGGGCTACAAGCTATGCACAAATAATGCATAACAAAATCCTAGTAGCTAGCCTAAGCGAATGGAAGAAAATAATCACCAACGAGGGAATAAATAAAGACAAATAAAATAAACGAAGACAGCATCTACCAAACTGGTTCACCTTCGACAAAAAACTATAGTATATAATAACAATGCATATGGAGGAATGATAAGATTGACCAAAGCAAACACATCCAAATTAGAACTCCAAGGAATAAGCATCACAAAAGCTTTAAGAATCATGCTGGAGGGAGCTATTTGAAACAGATAAATAAGCTGCGGAGAATGATTCCACCTTCATTACTTTTTAAAAGATGGGCACTTGCTGCTGGAATTATAAATAATTCCAAACTTGCTTCAGCACTAACCCTTTTATTGTTTTATAACTATCTGTAAGAATAAAATTCCCAACAAGAAATCTCTATCAAATCAACATGTCTAGAACAAATTTTCCTCTAACAAACTTATCCTTTAAAATTCATCAAACAAATCAAAACGTAAATTTGTGCATCCTACAAGAAACTAAATGAATTAGCATGAAAAAGTCCATCAAACTAATATCTTAGTTATCTTGGGAATCCACCATCAGTATTGGATATAATTTTATCCAAGAATAATTTGAATACACCTATCTGATTGAATATTGGGTGTAAATCCACAAGGAGGAAATAGAAAGAGAAAAGATAATCAACGGAATTGATGGTAGGTTCATGAAATACGATCAAATTAGAAAAATTAAAAATTGAATTAATTTCAGAATTTTTTGGAATTTCTAATTTGTAAACATTAATTTCAAGGAAACACAAGATTTAAATTGTTGTGTCATTCTCATATTTAAATTCTTTATAAGGTAAACCTTTTTTTTAATTTAGACACCATTAATTAATCACCAAATTTAAATTGCTCACAACTTTTGTCCATGAAATTCATAATTAATAGTCTATGAACTGTGCATATCCTCATGCAAATTAGCCAAATCATGCAAATGATCCAGGGTAAGTAATGAAAATACTGAAAATTTAGATTTGTTCTAGCAAATACTAATAACAACTAATAACTAATAACGAGATAATGAGATGATAAACAAATCAAAGTAAACAAACAGCTCAACAATGATATACCAACATGGGTGAGCAATCTACTTAAAAAATACCAACTCAGTGACTTAAATAAGAGCTTGATAAATTATGCACCTTTAATATCAAGCAGATAGAAGGCACTATGAATATTATGTTTCTTTTGAAGTATAGGTAACTAACAAATTTTCAGAGATATTGATGCCATTTATCTATCAACATGAGTTTATTCTATGACTTTGTATGTCACTAAACAAATAGCTAAAAAATCAATATCAATCTGATCATCCACCATAGGAGTACTATCACTAGGATGATTCATTAAGAATTACATTTTCAATATAATAACATAAAAAACAATTATAATTATAATAATAATAATAATAATAAACAAAAAGATGCAAGCGGTTAGAGGAGACGCATCCCCTCGTAGAAACGTATTGTTTATCCCTTCAAATGTCTTCTCATTCGAGCGAGAGAGGAAATTGTCGTACCCTAGTCAAGAAAGGAAGAAGAAATCGCATGAACGTGCGGCCATTATGCAGTGTCGGCCGGTGCAAAGGAGAAGAGGAAGGAGAAGAATTTACGGTTTTGTGTTGAGACTGAGGCAAAGGAAGAAGAGAGAGGCGGCGGCATCGAAGGCTTACTTGGACCAAGTCGCGATCATGGAAGAAGGAAGTCGAAGGACGAAGAAGAAACCTTAGTGCCCTAAATTTAATTGTATTGCTTTAATTTACTTTTTTTAGTTGTTCTTCATTTCATTTAAATTACCCATTATTAATTATAAAAATAAAAATAGAAAGGCATAATTATCATTGTCTGAACATCTGTTCTAATTTTAGTTAATTCCAAGTTTTAGACCAGGTCGTGATAAACAATAGAAAATACAATAAACTTATATCATTATTGTATCAACTTATTTCATACATAATTTTAGAAGCTGGATAATCGCTTCTCTAAAGTTAATATTTAGGGCAAATTTGAGGCAGCTTATTTGGTGCGATGTGTTTTCACCAACACCGTTTGGGCAAACATTGGTTTAACAACTAATTCAAAAATTAGGTTTTCAAACCGCTAAAATTAGCGTTTTCACACTGTTCCTGGCTAGATGCGATGGCAGATTTCTAGCTGCGGTCTGGCTTTTCTAAAAAAATTTGTAATAGCCACCGCAACTTTTTGAACAACAGATTATTTTTCAGCAGTTTATCAACAGTTTATTAATAAGCTACAGCTGCCCTAAATAGACTTTTAGGGTATGTTTGGGGCAGTTGTAGCTTATTGAATAATCAGCTGATAAGCTGATTAAAAATAATCTGCTGATAAGCTAGGTAGAGTAGTTATTACAAATTTTTATTTTTATGAAAAAATCAGACCGCAGCCAGAAAGTTGTCACCGGTGTAAAAATGTTATTTTCAGCATTTTGAAAACGCACAAGCTGTCAAAATGTAGTTTACCCAAACAGGTCAAATGCGTTTTCAAAACGATAATTTACCCAAACAGGTCAAGTGCGTTTTCAAAACGCCACCGCACTAAATAAGCTGCCTCAAACGGGCCCTTAGTTATTTCTTTAGATGGCATGTCTAAACAAAAGTTATTCAATATCTTCTTTTGATATGAAAATTAATTCGTCTTGCAAATTTATATTCAAGTAACTTTTTATATTTGAGCTTTTGGCCCTTGAGCATTAGTTATTTACTTATATTATTAATATGTGCATAATGATTAGTTCTCAACCAAAATAAAGGCGATCTTACAAATATAATTATTAAAATAAAAATGATGTGTACCTCCTAGTTTACAAGCTCATTGCATTGGTATTAACATTAATTACCACTACTGCAATAGATGCAGATTTAACTTTCTAATATAAGAATTATCAAGCATCAATTATGCAATATACTTTCTATTACCTTACACTAAATAATTAACCTGACTCTTCATTAAGTTATTATGCAACATTATCAAAAAATTTAAAATGGATTAAAAAAATTATAATCATTGTTCATTTTATCGATTATAATGAAATGTAACATTTTATTTTGAATTATATATTATTCGCTTTATTTTCTTTACTAATATTCTATTTACATGATAAACTTTCTCTCCCT